AATCCTCAGCTACTTCTCTAGCACCATGTCAACCTGCATGCTGCCATGCTTCCTGCCATGACAACAATGATAAACCTCTGAAACTGTAAGCAAGCCCCTATTAGATAGTTTCCTTTATGAGTTGTCATTGTGTCTCTTCATAGCAATAGAACACTGACTAAGACAATTATATAGACTAATCAGGTTGTAATTATGTACTTAGGAACACACAAATGCCCACACATACACTTACACATGTGTGCATTTATATACATAGGTGTGCGTTTACGTAACAATAACTAATGATTTAAAAAGAGGCCATTAACTTGAAAGTAGAGCAAGAAATGCTATATTGGAAAGTTTAGAGAGAAAAACAAGAGGGGAGAAGTCATGTGATTATAGCATAATCTCAAAATATAAATGAAATAATAAAAGCCTGTGTACACGTGTGAATACATATGACATACTGTGTGACATGTACCTTTTAGTGTATTTCTGTGCATAAAAATCATGTGCACATGTCTATAGAGGCCAGAGACACACAACTAACCTCTTTCCCCCATCTTCACCTTTATTTTTAAAAGAGCATGAGATAGGGTTTTTCACTAAACCTAAAGCTTGTCAATTCAGCTATGCTCACTTACAGTAATTGCTACAATTCCAGCATTTTTGCAAGAGTTTGAGTATCTGAACTCAAGACCTCATGCTTGTGAGGCAAGTAATGTACTCACAGAGCTATTCCTCCAGCCTAAATTTGGGAGGATTTTGAATAACATTTCTTTCTTTTTTTTTTTTTTTTAAATTTTCCAGAGCTGAGGACCGAACCCAGGGCCTTGTGCTTGCTAGGCAAGCGCTCTACCACTGAGCTAAATCCCCAACCTTTGAATAACATTTCTTAAGGCACTTTAAACGACCTGAACCAGATCTCTCCTCTTTAGGTAACTGGATGATCTCCTGTTCCTGGAAGGTCACCATATTGATGGTAAGCTTAGTGTAGACATCCAGTCAACATAAAGCATTACAGCCCAGAACTTCTTGACTAAGTGTGTATGTGTGGGGAGGCATATCTTTCTTTCTCTCATGTATATATGTATGTATGTATGTATGTATGTATGTATTATGTAATATGCATGTATGTGGGTATATGTTTCTGTGTGTGCACATGCATATGAGTGTGTATATGTTGTACCCATTTCACAAAAGCCCCAGAGACCACCAAGGAGCCAGTTTCCAATGCAAGCACATAAGGGTCCTTTTATTCAGGTTTAACCTGGGCCACTGCACAGCATGTGGAAGGAAATGTGGCAGCAGCCACAAGCCCAGGTGTAGAGAGTTTTTATAGGGAAAAACCACAAGCTGGGAATTGGCAACTTGGGATTGGGTAGAAGGGATACGGGGCAAAATGATTTGAAACCATTGGGCTAGACTTTTGGCGGGGAACCACAACCTGCTGAACAGAATTATCTGGACTTCTCAGCAGGGTTATCTAGATATCTTTAAGGGCCATAAACCACAGACAGGATGTCTGCAAGAAGATACTGCTCTGTATCTGTTCGAGTTGTCATGGCACATTCCCAAGGTCCTTCCTGGAACTGAGAACAGCAGGTACTCTGAGATGGTGGCCCTTTCACTAAAATGGAGCCTGTAAAGTTAAGTCTAGACCTTCACAGTATGTTTTCCAGTATGCTATGCATTTCTTGTGCTCTTTCTTCATTTCTTTTTGCTGTCCTCTTGGTTTGTCTTTTTTTATTTGCCGATCTCTTATCTTAAGAGAGACATAAGGTGTAGAGTTAGAAGTGTGAGGAAGTTGGGAGAATCTGGGGAAACATGGAGAGGAAGCCCTGATCAGAATATATTGTATGCAATCAATTTACTTTCAATAAAAATTATTTATAAAATTCCAACATCTCTTCAGTATCAGCTTCTATAAAATAAAAAAAAAAAATCACATACTTCCAACGTATGATAGCACAGGATGAACATCATATTTCAAATTAGAAGAACTAAGTGATTGTAAAGAATAATCATTCAAAAGTGAAATAAAAATCCAGAAGGGAGAACATCAAATCTTGCTGCTAAATGTCCATCACCTGGAGCTTATAACGTAATGTGCTAGGCTTCAAAGCTTAGGCAATACCATCCCTCCATTCCTCCACTCTTACACCTGAAGCACACACAGCTCTATCTTAGATATAGGCTTGCTGCACTGAATACCTGCAACCCAGCTTAGTGAACCATCTACAGCCTGACATTTCATGTTTTGATACCTCCACCACAGCTGAGACTTTATCTTCATAGCCATATTCAATGGATGCATAGCTGCTTTTGCTGGCTCATTTCATGTCAACATGACAAAAGATAGTTATCTGAAGTAAGGAAACCTCAGTTGAGAAAATGCCTCCATAATATCCAGCTGTAGGTCACTTTCTTAATTAGTGATTGATGGAGAAGAGCCCAGCCCATTGTTGAATGGTGCCATCTCTCAGCTGATGGTCCTAAGTCCAGTAAGAAAGCAGGCTGAGCAAGCCATGATGAATAAGCCAGTCAGCAGGACCCCTCCATGGCCTCTGCATCAGCTCCTGCCTGCTGAATTCCTGTCGTGAATTTCTTCAATGATAAACAGTGATGTGGAAGTATAAGCCAAATAAAGTCTTTCCTCCCCAACTTGCTTTTGGTCATGGTGTTTCATCACCATAACAAAAACCCAAAGACAGTGCCTTTCCATGGGGACTCCCACTTGGCCACACAGTACCTAGCCTCATCTGCTCTCGCTATAACTTTTGTCTTTGTTAGGATTTTTATTGCTGTGAAGAAAGACCATGAACAAGGCAACTCTTATAAAGAAAACATTTAATTGGGGTTGCTCGCTACAGTTTCAGAGGTTCAGTCCATTGTCATCATGATGGGGACCATGACAGCTTGCAGGCATATGAGGTACTAGAGCTGAGAGTGCTACATCTTGCAGGTAACAGGAAGTAGACTGAAACACTGGTTGGTATTCTGAGCATAGAAAAACTCAAACCCTGCCCCCATCGTGATACACTTCCTCCAAAAAGGCCTTACCCACTCCAACAAAGCCACACCTCCTAATAGTGCCACTCCCTATGAGATTATGGGAGCAATTGCATTAAAACCAACACACCCCTTAAACTTGCTTCTTTCCCTTTAAAACAAGTACCATGTAGATTGTGTGGTCACGTTCTCTTGCCAGATGTAGACCATACCCATGAGACTGTAGCAGCATTAGCTTGTGAGTGCAGACCCAAAGGAAGCACATTACTACTGGCCAATGCAGGACACCACTCTTCTCTTTAATGATGCTAATAACCTTAACAATTACAAATGCTTTACTGGCTTCACTCTCCTTCCCCAGTCTTTAAACTCTCCCTTCCATCTGCAAACACATAAATCCTTGCTCTTTACATTCATCTTTATTCAAATTTGCAGAATAAGGCAGAAGGAAGCCAGATTCCTGGTCAAACTATCACACAAATTACCCCTTGTTCAGTTTGTGACACAGTTCACTTTCCTCTCTGAAACCTCACAAGCCATATTTGAACTGTCCAGGCTTCTCTCAGCATTTGTCTCTTTCAGAGTTTGATTAGAACAGCAATTTTGAATCTGCTTGTAGCATTCAATGGCCTTTCTTTCCCACATATCCAAACATTTTAACATTCTTCTGACGAAATAATTCTAACATACTGATCTCTACATATTTCGGTTCATCACATCAATAATCTCACTTCTCCATACCAATTTCTTTCTTACGTATGCTTCCATAACTTAGTTATGTTTCCATAGGTTGAATGGTTATGTTAAAAATGCCCTGACAGAAAGCAACTTAATAGGGAAGCTGTTTACTTGGCTTGTCATTCCAGGTTATGTCCATTTTTCAAGGAAGTCAGGACAGCACATGTTTGAAGCAACTGGTCACAAGTATCCACAGTCAAGAGTAGAAAGTGAGTAGTTAAAAGCATATACTAACATATACTAGTCTCAACCTGCTTTCTATAAACTTGTCCAATCTAAAATCTGCTGCCTATGGAAGAGTGCTTGTACATACTTAGCCAGTCTTCCCATATCAATTAACATACTCAAAAAAATCCCCTACAGACATACCCAGAAATTAACCTAATCTAGAGGACCCCTCGCTGAGAATGCCTTCCCAAGTGGTTCTATATTATGTCAAGTTGACAAAACTAAGCATCTCACCCCCTCACCACTCTTTGCCCTGAGGATGCTGTTGTCTGCCAACTCCATCACCCATCCTCTCTATCTGCCTCCCTGTCCTTTCTCTAGTTCTCTGCCGCTTGCTTTCCATTCCCATTCTCTATTTATCTTTCTCTCAAACATCTTTCTTTTCACATTACTATTTATAGATTCCCTCCTCCTTTTCTATTGCTTTCACTAAACCTTATCTTTACATTTATCTTCATTCAGATTCTTAGAACATGGGCAGCACGAAACCAGATTCCTGATCAAAATATCACACAAATCACCCCTTGCACAATTCCAGACACAGTTCACACTCCCCACTGAAACCTCATTAGCCTGTTCTTAACTGCCCATGCTTACCTCAATGTTCTCCTCCTTCAAGCTTTAACTAGAGCAGCAATTTAAACTATGCTTACTGTATTCAATAGCTTTCTATCCTAAATCTTGTCTACCCAAGCTGGTATTCTCTTAAAATGACATCAATGCTTATGTATAATGTGAATTACGTATGTGTACTTTCTGAGTAGTCACAATTTGATAACTTCAACTTTGTTAGTATAAGCAATTTTCTCTACACTTCATTCAAAAATTAATCTTAACATTATGAAAAAAATAAAATGTCACTTGGCCAAACTAAGAAGTCTTAATGTCATACTGAAGATATATACCTGTAAGCATAGAAATACATTGTGTGAGCTTTTATTTCATAAGTAAAGTATTTCTAGGTGAAGAAAAAATAGCTATCACTTTACCTGCTTTTGCTTTTATTTATAGGTTGTCAATAGTCCAAAAATTAGTCTATGTACCTTTTTCAATTTGATGATTCCTTCTTGTGTATCCTCATCTGTGACAATGTCAAACAAATTTCCCCCATCTCCTGGGACAATGTTGTATTCAATTTCTGCATTTTTCCCAAAATCTGGATCTACTGCTCTTATCCGTCCAATTGCTGAGCCAATAGGAGAAGACTCGGGGACTTTCAGGTGGAAGATGCCTAATAAGAGACACATAATTTATAAAGACAGAAGAATCAGTGTATAATGAGATTGCCCTGCTTTAAAATATAGATATAAATAGTAAATCAAACTAATATCTTTGTAATACAAAATCAAAGACAATTTATTGACAGCTTAAAGGCTATGATTATATGTAATTGCTACACTATATATGTCGGAAGTTCCTGATGTAGAGGTTTAACTGAGCATGAACAGTAATGGAGGATGATAAATCACAATCACTTTGAGAAAATAGTCATATACCAATTGTATCTAAGTGGATTAAATATTAAAAATGATCTTAGTAGCATTCCTAATCAATATCAATATGAGTAATCAATATCAATAAAATAATGTAGGATGCAAAACACAAAGAAACATTAGATAAACACTTCATAGATAAATAAGTAAGTGGGGTAGTTATTAAAAATATCTATATGTAGATACTTTTAGTGGTTAAGCTTATCTTTTAAAGAATAATATATTCAGTAATCATACACCAAGCAAAAATGTTCTATAATGATACTTATATATGTACAGTCCCAAAATTCCAATTCATGGTAAAGTTAAATGCAGAGTAATATATTGTGATTTCAGTACATTTTAAAATGTATTAACTTGGCATCCTAGAAAACATTTTTATATATTACCTAAATCAAGATATAAATTTGATACCCTGATTACTTTTAGTATTAAAAAATGAAAAAAAATGGAAATTTCTACCACCAGGTGGAGCAATTATATTACTGAGAAATGCATTTTGAATATGAAAATATTGTTAAGATCTACAATATGTTGTTAAACTCTGAAAAATAGTATTATATATACAAATTTTGACAAGTTAAGGAGTCTGGAATTTCAAATTAAAGTATGTCACTAACACAGCATAGCCTTTATTTTACTGATATTTTTTGTATTGCCTCAAAACCTGTATTGATGTGTTAGTCTATGTTCTGCTGTCACAATTAGAAAAGGACAAGAATGGAGAGCAAAATAAAACACAAAAGTCAAAGTGTCCATTGTGTTACTGGTATTCCAATTTCAAATTTCATTACTGGGCTTTGAATAGCTCTTTTCTATGAATGAAACTGTCACTGTTATGGATTTTGTTTTGAATTTCTAGTTGCATCAGTTAAAATTAAGCTAGGAAGATAGTCAGCATTTTCCTTATATGATGACACTTTAGTGAATCATATATTAGGACACACGGATGAACATTGTGAAATTTCCGTTATTTTCTTTTTTACTCCCTATTATGTGAAGATGTCTACAAGTTTTCAAGTTTTTTAAGCATCAAAACTTGGTAATTTTCTCAAGCAAGATGCTTGCCCTTTGCCTTTTAAAATTATGCTTGTATCCAGTGGACATTTCTACAATAGGATATATATTTTACTTCAAATGGTTAAATATCTACCTACCGTAAAATATATCTCTGTCATACATTATTATTTATTTCTCAAATTACAAAAACTTAGATGAGAGTTGGAAATTAAGGCAAATAGGAAAAAAAAGTGGCCACTTGACATGTGGTGGTGTTTTCCATTGTGTTCCTGCAGGACAGGATAAAAGCAGATACTCAAGTACAATCAGATTTTTCTAGGCGCAAGTGTGTAACAGAGGGCCATCCATCTTTCATCATCTACTTTCGTAATGAAAATGAGGACATGACCACTACTAGTTGTGGTTAAGGGAAAGGTTTTGTTTCAGGTAGGAAGGAAACATTTGGAGATATTTGGAAGAGTCCAGACTGAGCTGAGCCATGAGAGGAGAGAGGACAGGGGTGAGGGGTACAGGAGAAAGGAAGAGAAAAGGTAGTTTGCAAGCTTAGCAGGACCAAGAGGACAAGAAGCCAAGAGTGTAGCCAAAATAGCTGAATTTATATAGGATTAGAAACTGGCAGAAAAGATGGGAAGCCCATCCCCTGAACTGTAGAGGTTTAAGGTAGGGGGCAAGGAGAGAGGTGCTTGGAGGAGTCACAGGTACTAGGTGATGCTGGGACAGCTGGCTAGAGTCCTCTTTGATATGTTAAATAGGCACCTTAAATTGTCCTGGGGTTGCCTTTAGACTCCAAATGGAAAGCCTCCCTCCCTCCCTCCCTCCCTCCCTCCCTCCCTCCCTCCCTCTCTCTCTCTCTCTCTCTCTCTCTCTCTCTCTCTTTTTCGCTCTCTCCCTTTCTTGTTTTTTTTTTTAACTGTTTATTGATTCTTTGTGGATTTCATATCATGCATCCCAATCCCACTCACCTCCTGTCCCTCGGCTTATGCCCTCTACTCTTGCAATCTTCCCCAAAACAATACAAAGTTTAAAAATAAAACCAAAAAAACCACAATTCTTTCTTAACTCTTAGCATACACCAACATTTTACTGAGGGATACTTGAGATTTTGGCAAGTACAAATTACTTGAATCTTTTATTAATGTGGAAAAATGTTATAAACCATAGTTATTTAAGGCACACTAAACAAACTGCTCATAGGGGGAAAAACACAAAGCAAAGGTAAAACAATGAGTATATGTTATTTTTTCTTCCTTTCGTTTTTAATATGAAATAGAAATGTTAGTAGCACTATTTATGTCATGTGCCTGTCTGAGTAACTGTAATTGACGTAAAGAATCTGAAGATACATCAAGTTCCTTGAATTGATAGAGCAGCGATGTACTGCAACATCATGACCTATCAGTAGTATTGAGAATGATATTAAGGATTTCCTGATAAGAAATGGAGGTGTGTGCTGAACAGCCTCCTATAAATCCTCCTCTGTTCAGACATAGACAATTTATTGCTAAATGTACCAAAGAAATGGCTGACAGTCAATCTGAGAGCAACAGGGAACTGTAGATTTCACTGGAGACAGTGACTAACAGTGAGGACACAGTGCATCTGCTGGAGGGCAGGGCAATGGATTGATGAGACTTGGAAGACCGTGGAATATTTCTGCTTCCGTTTTCCCATCCATTCATGGAAAGTCTAATCAAATTATAGATTAAGTTCATGGCATAGCTTTTGATTTGAAGAGTTAAAATCAATTTTTAAAGTAACTATTTAGGGAAATAATATAGTCTGAAGTCATCTCTCAGGGATTATAGTTAGTGAAGTTGAATTGTCAGAATTGAGGCTTCTCACTGTGTGTTTGCATGAGGGTGTTTTAAATTCTGAAAGGTAATCTAAAGGCCATCAGGAAACTCAGACTACAGATGAAATGGCCTCCTTTACAAGGCAATCTGCTGAGATATGAATTTCTTGTTCTATAGAAGACCAGTTTATGAGGCCAATAACAGTAAATGTGAAGACAGCTATTCTTTGTAGCACTTTATCAATATAAGCTATGTTGTGAGGGCAGTTCTTTCTGAAGACTGTCAACACTGGTGTGTCCAAAATTCAATTATTATCTAATGGCTCCAGAAAATTTATGATGAATTGGAAAAGGCTCACTTTTCACCAATGATTGACTTGATACTATGCCCTCAGTAGGCACACTTCAGAATTAAGATATAATCAAAGGAAAGCAGAGGTTCGTGAATTCCATGTTCTTGTACCGAGCTTTTAGTGCCCATAAAACACAAGAGCACAGGACACTGTTTTTTTCCTGATCTTTTCGTTTCAGGCATACACTTTTATTGAAGTGGGAGACATCAGCATTCATTAAGACAAGTATATTACAAAAAAAATCGCCTGTTGTGATAAAGTCTACTGAACACGGGGGAAGTCGGTGGAACTACGTGTTTGTCATGTCAGGTTGTTTAGGTTTCCTCCGTTTATTTCCAATGAGTTGGCATTTTATCATTGCTAGAATCTCAACAGCAATAAAGCTGAGGTCATTCAGATTAATTTAAAGCTCTGAAGTACTGTGCAACTGTGCCAAAGCTAAATCAGCATGACATACAGTGTAATTACATTGCCATCATTTCTAGTCACCTTATTTTGATGCATATGAAGCCCCTGAATGGTGCTCCCTATACAACATAGATTAAGAAATGAAATCAGGGACAAGGGATTGTTCTCCGAGTGAGTCAAATATATGCTCACATTTTTATCAAATGTACAAGTTATGCCTAACAAAATCATCATTTCCCAAGAAACGGAGAAAACTGTATGCAGGAGATTATGTGGAATTTCAGTGATCGATTCTGTAATTTCTTACAGACAATGTTCTCTGTTATTTCCACTGCAATAAACATAGCTACTAGCTGTAGGTAAATTCACATTCTTTTAGTGACTATGCCATCTGAAAAATTATAGGTTGATTATATTTGGATTATTACAACTTATTCTTTAGGGAGAGGGAAGGAGAAGTCAGAATCTATTGTCAAGCAAGAACGAAGCTCTAAAATATATTTTCTTTGAGAAAGCTAATCAGTGTAAATGAAGAAAACAATACATATGTTGATGTGTATGCATGCATACTTGAAAAAAATATTATAAATTGCATCAGTACATGATTTATAAAACCCATAAGAAGAAACTGGGCAGATGAATTATAAAATACCATATTGGCAAAAGTAGAAACAAAAATTGAATAATCCATTACAGATTCATTTGAAACACAGCATGTTTATATAAAAAACATAGTAATTCGTAGTTCAGCTGTACTTAGAAGTTATCCCTCCTTGTACCTGGGAGTTTGAAGCAAGCCAGGACAATATAAATCATGGCAAATGCTAAGAGGGAGAGTTATGTGTCTGGGACCAAGGAAAATGTTTCTCTAGAACAGGGAAGGCTTTGTCTTCAGTCCCCAGCAACATAAAAACTAAATTGTGGTCAATTACAATAAAGTAAAATGTAAATATTATGATACTGGCAATACTAGAAGGCTTAAAATAATTTATTTCAGAATGATAAGAATATTAATAATTTTGAGTAATCAAAAACATAGTAAAAATTACATTTGAGAATGAAATTTAGAAAATATTTAGCTACTAAACATGTGATTATGTAATTGAATTTAGAAATGTCTCTAGTGATCATCCTTCAATGTTTCTGTGACTTACTATTTAATTTT